AAAGATGCCAGCAGGGTAACCCATGGTGGAGAGGTTTCAGCAGAGGTTCTGGGCTAAGAAAGACTCAGAAGAAGGAAGAGGCCATCCACTTCTCAAACAAATGGCCAGTGAAAACCTTTTGAATAGCAGTGAAAAACTGTCTAATATATTACTGGAAAACTTTATGAACAGCCCTGAAACACTGTCCAACGTAGTGCCAGAAAATGAGCCCATCAGGTCAGAAGGCACTCAGAATTTGACTGGGGAAGAGCTGACTCCTCAGAGTAGAGAGGCAACCTTAACAGTATGAATAGAGTAAAGTTTTCGGGACCTCCCTTGGCTGATTTGGCATGACTCATAATATGAGTAGAAATAGATGCAAACATCCATTAATAATTGGAACACTGAATGTGTGAGGTATGAATCTGAGAAAACTGGAAGTTGTCAAAAAGGAAATGGAACACATAAAGACTGATATCCTAGGCATTAGTGAGGTGAAATGGACTGTATTTGACATTTTGAGTCAGACAACCATATGACCTACTATTCCAGGAATGACAAATTTATCGTCACAAAGAGTGTTTCAAGATCTGTTCTGACATACAACGATGTCAATGATAGGATAATACCATACTCCTGCAAGGCCAAGAGCTCTGGAGGCATAGCACCTAAGGGATTTGACTGCTAATCAGAAGGTTGGAGGTTCAAACCCACCAGCCACTTCATGGAAGGAAGGTTGGGCAAACTACTTCCGTAGTGACACTGCCTTGGAAACCCAAGGAGAGGTCGCTATTAATCGGATCCAACTTGACAGCAGTGAGTTTGGTTTTTGGTTCGGTTTACAAGGAAGGCCAGTTAATACTACTATTACTCAAATTTATGTACCAAATACCAAAGCCAAAGATGAGGAAATTGAAGATTTCTACCAACTTCTGCAGCCTGAAATTGAATGAACATGCAATAAAGACATGTTGATTATCACTGGTGACTGGAATGCAAAAGTTGTAAACAAAGAAGAGTTACCAGTAGTTATAAAATACGGCCTTAGTAATAGAAATAATGCTGGAGATCTCATGACAGAATTTTGCAAGACCAACAACTTATTCATTGTAAATACATTTTTAAACAATGTAAGTGACAACTATACATACGGACTTCACCAGATGGAATACCCAGGAATCAGATTGACTACATCCGTGGCAAGAGGCAATGGAGGAATTCAGTATCTTTGGCTAAAACAAGGCCAGGAGCTGATTTTAGAACAGACCATCAACTGCTCATATACAAGTTCAAGGTGAAGTTGAAGACAACAAAGTCCACGAGAACCAAAATATGACTTTGACTATGTCCGTCCTCAATTTAGAGACCAACTGAAGAACAGATTTCATGCACTGAACACCAATGACCGAAAACCAGAATAATTGTGGGGTAACATCAAGAACATCATACGTGAAGAAAGCAAAAAGACAAGAAAGGAAGAAAAGACCAAAATAGATGTCAGAAGAGTCTCTGAAACTTGCCCTTGAATGGAAAGTAGCTAAAGCAAATGGAAGAAATGACAAGATAAAAGAGCTAAACAGAAGATCTCAAAGAGCAGATTGAGCAGAAAAAGCCAATTACTATAATGAAACATGCAAAGAC